TGTGTGTGTGTGTGTGTGTGTGTGTGTGTGTGAGAGAGAGAGAGAGAGAGAGAGAGAGAGAGAGAGAGAGAGAGAGAGAGAGAGAGAGAGAAAGGCTACTTCCATCGATAGGATGAGCAAAATCGGAATGAATCTTCCGCTAGAATATGGAAATATTCACTGCTTTTCCAGCCATGCGCCCCGAGAGATAGAGAGAGGCTACTTCCATCGTGAGCAAAATCGGAATGAACCTTCCCCTAGAACATGGAAATATACACTGCCACTTCGCTTGTTTTTTCTTCGTGAGAGAGAGAGAGACAGAGAGAGAGAGAGAGAGAGAGAGAGAGAGAGAGAGAGAGAGAGAGAGAGAGAGAGAGAGAGAGAACAGGTACGTTTCCAACCTCTCGGCTAGCCTCACGCTACTTCCATCGATAGGATGCTCAAAATTGAATGAATCTTCCGCTAGAACATGGAAATATACACTGCCACACTTGTAGATTCAGTCCACAAACCCGCAGTCAAAAAAGATCCCGTTCATAAAACCGTGCCAACAGCAGCCTTCCGCTCGAGTGTTCCACACAATTGTTGGACAATCGCGCCGCCCAAACTCCATTCCATTCACACAGGCCCAAACCAACCTCGGCCCGAACAGTCGCCACCAGACTCAAAAGAAAATTGTAGAAAAACAATATTTGAACACTCACCGCAGAAAGCTCCCGCGCGATCCCACCCGCCTTTGCCCGGAAAAAAAGCATTTGGTAAGGGAGGGAAAAAAATACAACAGAGCGAGCCACGGCCCCGCCCGACTTTTCGCTGGGCCCGCCCCGGGTTCCAGACCTTTCTTTCCAACACTGGCGCTCGGCCTCCCGTGGGAGCGTCATGCGATGTTGCATACCGTAAAGGTACAGACCAGAACAAGAACCAACCTCTCTCACATAGTACAGGATAGCGCAGCGGAAGGCTAAAATACCAGTGATCAACCCAAGCAATGTCGCAATGCAGACCAAACACACATCATCATCATCGCAAGGCGTGAAGGGACCTCACACAGAAAGAATGCGCCAGTCCCAAACATACACAGACGAGGAGGAGGAGGATCAGACGAAGAAGAGGGGGAAGATGGGAATGTCGTCAACACCAAGTCTTCGATATAGGTCCAAATAATCCCTTGTCAAATGTCTCGTTCCCAATGTCGAGTCTGAATCCGAATGTCGTCAAGTCTCAAAGTCGCAAATCTCTCTCTCTCTCGTAGTCTGTAGATACGGAGAAGTCAGATAGCGAGAGGGGGAGGGAGAGATGGTGGACTTAGAGGAGGAAGAAGAAGAACTCTCTTTCTCTCTCTTGTGCCAAGTACTGACCTGTGAAGGTGACGCCTTGTTGCAGGTACATCGAAGATGAAGCTGGAGCTATGGCGCCACAGGTAAGTCTCCCTGGCCTCCGCCCTTCTCTCTATCTCCCAACACTACTCTACCTCCTAGCAGCGCCCAGCGCTGAAGACTACTCTAGCGCTAGCTACTACTACTGCAGCGCTCCTCCAGAGTGCTGCAGCCAGCTCCTGAAGACTGCCTCCTGAATGCATGTGAAGTGCCTGTGAACTGCCTGGGAAGTCCCTAGGCCTACCTGCAGCCCGCAGGGCGGACCAGTATAGTGCTGGTCCGGCCTGGGAGGCTGGTCTTGCCCATGCCGAATCATGCCAGACCCTGTTGTTGAGGTTCAAACAAAGGTTGTCTTGAAACAGGCCTAAAAATGGCCTGCGCTAAAACCCTGGTCTGGTGCCTAAGTTTCAGGGGAGGTCGACTTTATGAGGGCCTGAAAATGGCCTTCCGTTTGAGGCTGAAAAGACTCAGGGTCTGGAGGGCCCTTTACACAGGGCCTGGAGGGCCCTTACTTATCCCTTGTTCCGCCTGGTCGGGCCTTGCAGGCCCGTGTGGTGCACAGTATGCCACACGCGAGGACTGCTATTTGCTTAAAGAAGGTACAAGCAAAAGGCTTTTCTGAACTGCCAGCAGCGCACTTTTTTCCTTTTTTGGCTGGTGGTGCTAGCCATTGTGGTCCGGTAGGCCCGAGCCTCCAAAATTTTAGGCGT